GCCGTAGGTCTTCTCCCCTGTCACCCCGAAGTCCCGGCGCTATGAGACCGCCTCAGCTAGCTCACGGAAGCCTTAAGTGAGTTTGAGAGCGTTTGAGAGAGATTGGAGAGAGTTTTATGCAGAGGAGGGACATGCAGCTCTATTTATAGATTTTCCAGCCATGTCCTCTCATAACGGGCCGGGCCGAACTCGGCCCACACAAGCCGGGCCCATATCCGACTAATTAAGAAACCTTATATTCAACCTTATTAGACCAGACCCGTAAGCGGGTAATAACAATCTCAATTAATGTAACCCACATAAGGAAAATGTTACATTCTCCCACTTGGGCTATATTAATCGAAATCGTACCTTATGTGCACCTTCATTTGGTCTATGGATAATTCTTAATAGTCAATCCGATCCCATAAAGTTTGAAACATCGAATCATGGCGGTAACTGCATGTAATCACGCAGAGCCTTCCATGGTTACAAGTGTCTTAGACTTTACTGATATGGATTCGATATGGTTGTGTGGCAAACGGATGACACCTCATAAAGAGTGATACCTCATGTGTCATCCCCTTTGTCAGTCCTCGTTCTCTTTCCTTAAGTGTCACAAAAACCTGATGTGTCACTAGAGAATATCTTTATGGTTCCAATGAACCTACATATGTCTTATCCTTATTGTCAAGATAATTTTCGATGGGCAGCTCGGTTCACTACCGGCCACTCCTTCCACCGTCGTATAGCTCGGTTTTCCGTTGCGGCCCTATGCCATCTCATATGGACAGAAAGGAACCACATCCTTTTTACGAATCGGTCCCTTTTTTTGCCTGCTATGCGTACTCACCTTTCTAAGGTCGTAAGGGACAAAGGGCTTTCCCTCAGAACTGTGGAAGACAATCCCCGGAATAGAAGATTACAAGCCAAATGGGGTATCTCGGCGTCCATCTTTTTCTGATCCTTGTATAGCTGTGTTTTTTCCTTTCCTTCTTATGCTGGCCGGTTATCTCAACCTTGCCTTTTAGTGCGCACTTGTTGCTCCTCTTTTAGTCGTAACACCTTTGCACCTGTCGGGACATCTTTTGTCTCCTCAAGTACGAGGTTTTTGCGTTCGGCTTCACTCTTGTACTTTGTGCGTTGAAAAGTTATACCGCTTGCCTTACCAAAAAAAAAACATTGCAACGTTGAAACTCTTCGAAGCTGATGTTTTTCTCTCTTGTTAAACAAAATTCTCATCATTTCGTGAGATAACATACAAATTGTGGAAGGGGTTTTGCATATCGGAGTCACGGAAACTAGGGTTTATGTTATCCTCACTTTTAGAAGTTATCTTTTCAACGAAATACCCAAAAACAAAAACAGACATGTAAACAATGCAAAATTCCACTTATTTCAGACTCGATATTAAAACAATTTCTAAGAAAAATTAGCCATAGAAATCAAGAGAAGAGACCAAGGCAGATCTGCAACTTCCTATTTGTTTTTATCTCCGGGTTACCACACGAAAAAAGACATGAACAAGCATGTTTAGCCAAGAAAAGACGTATCAAAAGTACACCATTTGTTTGCTACCTCGGATGTCCCCCAAAATTGTGACAAAAATGTTTGATCCTAACTGATGTAAAGTTAAGTAAACAACGATATCAGCAACTGAACTATTCACGATGTGGGAAACTTGACCTTACGTCGGACCAGGTCCTCGACCCGTCAATCAAAGCCTTCACAACGGAGGCCACTATACCCATATTTACCCGAACTCCCTCTCTGCTGTCCCTCTCTCGAATGGTGGCATCAGCATCAGCAGCACTTGAAAGGACAGTGATTGAAAAGGGAACGCCGAGCTCATCGATTCTCGCATATCTCTTCCCTATGTTGCCGGCTGTAAGCATACCAAGGGCACAGTGGCATATGATCATCCAATGTAACTTTGGTGCTTTCACCGAGGATAAGAAGACAAATCTCGATCCAAATAGACAGCTCCATAGCAAAACAAGTCCTCATATAATAAATGTGTATCACTCATAAATGCAAACCTGACACGAACCTTAGAAATTTCCGCAAATCATAACAAGGAACAACGAGAAGATGCCAATTCATTTAGCAGAGAGTAGCGTCAGGATAAAAGAACTCGATCTTAGAAAAACAGGCATTCAAACCCCTCTAGAAAATCCCCTTACATCAGAGAGAGAACGCAAAGTCTCGAGTACTCGCTGGACTTCCTTAGCCTTCTCTGGACAAATGATCGAATTCTTTTGGTGGATCATCTCATTTGAAAACACCATTGAGCACATGGTCAGCTCGATAGCAATTCCTAGTTTCATCATCCATCATCACAGGAACAGTACATTTGTCCAGATGCTCCGACCCTTTAAGGAGAATCTTCGGAGGGCTATAAGGGCGGGAAACCACCGACATGCCCTCCTCTAGAGCAAAATGCTAACAATAGAAAGAAAAAAAAATTAACACGTCTATACTATCCATGCCGATTCGACTCAATTCCATGACTAACCTCATGCCATAACCCCAAGACTTTCGACTCGATGGCTCTGCCGATCGGGCCGTATTCGTAGATCCCGTCGACCCCCCGGTAATTCTTAGGCGAGGCAATGTAGAACTCGCGGCCCTTGATCGAGTTGTGCACTTCCGTACGGAACGCCTTCTTAAGCGCGTGGTCGCCGGCGAGGGCTTCGTCCATGGCGAGAGTGTTGGCCGGCCCGTATGGCCCGGCCGAGCCCTAGGATCACCATAGCGAGATATTAACGGTTCGGTAAAAGGATGGATAGAATTTGTGCACTGATTTGGATTCCATCGTCCGGATGCGGAAATGACGATGAACCGGTGCCGTAGGTCTTCTCCCTGTCACCCCGAAGTCCCGCGCTATGAGACCGCCTCGCCTAGCTCACGGAAGCCTTAAGTGAGTTTGAGAGCGTTTGAGAGAGATTGGAGAGAGTTTTATGCAGAGGAGGGACATGCAGCTCTATTTATAGATTTTCCAGCCATGTCCTCTCATAACGGGCCGGGCCGAACTCGGCCCACACAAGCCGGGCCCATATCCGACTAATTAAGAAACCTTATATTCAACCTTATTAGACCAGACCCGTAAGCGGGTAATAACAATCTCAATTAATGTAACCCACATAAGGAAAATGTTACATTCTCCCACTTGGGCTATATTAATCGAAATCGTACCTTATGTGCACCTTCATTTGGTCTATGGATAATTCTTAATAGTCAATCCGATCCCATAAAGTTTGAAACATCGAATCATGGCGGTAACTGCATGTAATCACGCAGAGCCTTCCATGGTTACAAGTGTCTTAGACTTTACTGATATGGATTCGATATGGTTGTGTGGCAAACGGATGACACCTCATAAAGAGTGATACCTCATGTGTCATCCCCTTTGTCAGTCCTCGTTCTCTTTCCTTAAGTGTCACAAAAACCTGATGTGTCACTAGAGAATATCTTTATGGTTCCAATGAACCTACATATGTCTTATCCTTATTGTCAAGATAATTTTCGATGGGCAGCTCGGTTCACTACCGGCCACTCCTTCCACCGTCGTATAGCTCGGTTTTCCGTTGCGGCCCTATGCCATCTCATATGGACAGAAAGGAACCACATCCTTTTTACGAATCGGTCCCTTTTTTTGCCTGCTATGCGTACTCACCTTTCTAAGGTCGTAAGGGACAAAGGGCTTTCCCTCAGAACTGTGGAAGACAATCCCCGGAATAGAAGATTACAAGCCAAATGGGGTATCTCGGCGTCCATCTTTTTCTGATCCTTGTATAGCTGTGTTTTTTCCTTTCCTTCTTATGCTGGCCGGTTATCTCAACCTTGCCTTTTAGTGCGCACTTGTTGCTCCTCTTTTAGTCGTAACACCTTTGCACTGTCGGGACATCTTTTGTCTCCTCAAGTACGAGGTTTTGCGTTCGGCTTCACTCTTGTACTTTGTGCGTTGAAAAGTTATACCGCTTGCCTTACAAAAAAAAAACATTGCAACGTTGAAACTCTTCGAAGCGATGTTTTCTCTCTTGTTAAACAAAATTCTCATCATTTCGTGAGATAACATACAAATTGTGGAAGGGGTTTTGCATATCGGAGTCACGGAAACTAGGGTTTATGTTATCCTCACTTTTAGAAGTTATCTTTTCAACGAAATACCCAAAAACAAAAAACGAGACATGTAAACAATGCAAAATTCCACTTATTTCGGACTCGATATTAAAACAATTTCTAAGAAAAATTAGCCATAGAAATCAAGAGAAGAGACCAAGGCAGATCTGCAACTTCCTATTTGTTTTTATCTCCGGGTTACCACACGAAAAAGACATGAACAGCATGTTTAGCCAGCAAAAGACGTATCAAAAGTACACCATTTGTTTGCTACCTCGGATGTCCCCCAAAATTGTGACAAAAATGTTTGATCCTAACTGATGTAAAGTTAAGTAAACAACGATATCAGCAACTGAACTATTCACGATGTGGGAAACTTGACCTTACGTCGGACCAGGTCCTCGACCCGTCAATCAAAGCCTTCACAACGGAGGCCACTATACCCATATTTACCCGAACTCCCTCTCTCTTGTCCCTCTCTCGAATGGTGGCATCAGCATCAGCAGCACTTGAAAGGACAGTGATTGAAAAGGGAACGCCGAGCTCATCGATTCTCGCATATCTCTTCCCTATGTTGCCGGCTGTAAGCATACCAAGGGCACAGTGGCATATGATCATCCAATGTAACTTTGGTGCTTTCACCGAGGATAAGAAGACAAATCTCGATCCAAATAGACAGCTCCATAGCAAAACAAGTCCTCATATAATAAATGTGTATCACTCATAAATGCAAACCTGACACGAACCTTAGAAATTTCCGCAAATCATAACAAGGAACAACGAGAAGATGCCAATTCATTTAGCAGAGAGTAGCGTCAGGATAAAAGAACTCGATCTTAGAAAAACAGGCATTCAAACCCCTCTAGAAAATCCCCTTACATCAGAGAGAGAACGCAAAGTCTCGAGTACTCGCTGGACTTCCTTAGCCTTCTCTGGACAAATGATCGAATTCTTTTGGTGGATCATCTCATTTGAAAACACCATTGAGCACATGGTCAGCTCGATAGCAATTCCTAGTTTCATCATCCATCATCACAGGAACAGTACATTTGTCCAGATGCTCCGACCCTTTAAGGAGAATCTTCGGAGGGCTATAAGGGCGGGAAACCACCGACATGCCCTCCTCTAGAGCAAAATGCTAACAATAGAAAGAAAAAAAAATTAACACGTCTATACTATCCATGCCGATTCGACTCAATTCCATGACTAACCTCATGCCAGAACCCCAAGACTTTCGACTCGATGGCTCTGCCGATCGGGCCGTATTCGTAGATCCCGTCGACCCCCCGGTAATTCTTAGGCGAGGCAATGTAGAACTCGCGGCCCTTGATCGAGTTGTGCACTTCCGTACGGAACGCCTTCTTAAGCGCGTGGTCGCCGGCGAGGGCTTCGTCCATGGCGAGAGTGTTGGCCGGCCCGTATGGCCCGGCCGAGCGCCCTAGGATCACCATAGCGAGATATTAACGGTTCGGTAAAAGGATGGATAGAATTTGTGCACCTGATTTGGATTCCATCGTCCTGGATGCGGAAATGACGATGAACCGGTGCCGTAGGTCTTCTCCCTGTCACCCCGAGAAGTCCCGCGCTATGAGACCGCCTCGGCCTAGCTCACGGAAGCCTTAAGTGAGTTTGAGAGCGTTTGAGAGAGATTGGAGAGAGTTTTATGCAGAGGAGGGACATGCGGCTCTATTTATAGATTTTCCAGCCATGTCCTCTCATAACGGGCCGGGCCGAACTCGGCCCACACAAGCCGGGCCCATATCCGACTAATTAAGAAACCTTATATTCAACCTTATTAGACCAGACCCGTAAGCGGGTAATAACAATCTCAATTAATGTAACCCACATAAGGAAAATGTTACATTCTCCCACTTGGGCTATATTAATCGAAATCGTACCTTATGTGCACCTTCATTTGGTCTATGGATAATTCTTAATAGTCAATCCGATCCCATAAAGTTTGAAACATCGAATCATGGCGGTAATCGCATGTAATCACGCAGAGCCTTCCATGGTTACAAGTGTCTTAGACTTTGCGATATGGATTCGATATGGTTGTGTGGCAAACGGATGACACCTCATAAAGAGTGATACCTCATGTGTCATCCCCTTTGTCAGTCCTCGTTCTCTTTCCTTAAGTGTCACAAAAACCTGATGTGTCACTAGAGAATATCTTTATGGTTCCAATGAACCTACATATGTCTTATCCTTATTGTCAAGATAATTTTCGATGGGCAGCTCGGTTCACTACCGGCCACTCCTTCCACCGTCGTATAGCTCGGTTTTCCGTTGCGGCCCTATGCCATCTCATATGGACAGAAAGGAACCACATCCTTTTTACGAATCGGTCCCTTTTTTTGCCTGCTATGCGTACTCACCTTTCTAAGGTCGTAAGGGACAAAGGGCTTTCCCTCAGAACTGTGGAAGACAATCCCCGGAATAGAAGATTACAAGCCAAATGGGGTATCTCGGCGTCCATCTTTTTCTGATCCTTGTATAGCTGTGTTTTTTCCTTTCCTTCTTATGCTGGCCGGTTATCTCAACCTTGCCTTTTAGTGCGCACTTGTTGCTCCTCTTTTAGTCGTAACACCTTTGCACCTGTCGGGACATCTTTTGTCTCCTCAAGTACGAGGTTTTTGCGTTCGGCTTCACTCTTGTACTTTGTGCGTTGAAAAGTTATACCGCTTGCCTTACCAAAAAAAAAACATTGCAACGTTGAAACTCTTCGAAGCTGATGTTTTTCTCTCTTGTTAAACAAAATTCTCATCATTTCGTGAGATAACATACAAATTGTGGAAGGGGTTTTGCATATCGGAGTCACGGGAAACTAGGGTTTATGTTATCCTCACTTTTAGAAGTTATCTTTTCAACGAAATACCCAAAAACAAAAAACAGACATGTAAACAATGCAAAATTCCACTTATTTCAGACTCGATATTAAAACAATTTCTAAGAAAAATTAGCCATAGAAATCAAGAGAAGAGACCAAGGCAGATCTGCAACTTCCTATTTGTTTTTATCTCCGGGTTACCACACGAAAAAGACATGAACAGCATGTTTAGCCAGCAAAAGACGTATCAAAAGTACACCATTTGTTTGCTACCTCGGATGTCCCCCAAAATTGTGACAAAAATGTTTGATCCTAACTGATGTAAAGTTAAGTAAACAACGATATCAGCAACTGAACTATTCACGATGTGGGAAACTTGACCTTACGTCGGACCAGGTCCTCGACCCGTCAATCAAAGCCTTCACAACGGAGGCCACTATACCCATATTTACCCGAACTCCCTCTCTGCTGTCCCTCTCTCGAATGGTGGCATCAGCATCAGCAGCACTTGAAAGGACAGTGATTGAAAAGGGAACGCCGAGCTCATCGATTCTCGCATATCTCTTCCCTATGTTGCCGGCTGTAAGCATACCAAGGGCACAGTGGCATATGATCATCCAATGTAACTTTGGTGCTTTCACCGAGGATAAGAAGACAAATCTCGATCCAAATAGACAGCTCCATAGCAAAACAAGTCCTCATATAATAAATGTGTATCACTCATAAATGCAAACCTGACACGAACCTTAGAAATTTCCGCAAATCATAACAAGGAACAACGAGAAGATGCCAATTCATTTAGCAGAGAGTAGCGTCAGGATAAAAGAACTCGATCTTAGAAAAACAGGCATTCAAACCCCTCTAGAAAATCCCCTTACATCGTGAATAGGACAAAAATAAGTATTCACGTAAGCACGTACGAAAAGAAAAACGCTTCAGAAATCATAGCACCGTTTTAAGAAAGAAAAACCAAAGAGCAAAGAGATGTCAGTCAACCTTCGGAGCTGATCCTAACGTGATAAATGAAAACAATTTCACGGAAATAGGCATTCACACCCCTCGATAAAATCTGCTTCTATGGTGAGTAAAGAAAAGACAGTGACAAAGATATAAGCTTCATGTAAAATACGTACAAAAGAAAATTTTAAGTAAGATATTAAGAACTATATTAGATAGGTACCAGGAATCCTTTCACTCAGCTTGACACCAAAATCATTCCGTGATCTGCAAATTAAATCAGCAACCAACACAAGATCTTCGACAATTCTCAATGGGAGAACGGCACACTCAAAAGGTGCTACAAATCGAGTGAAGCGGAACACATTTAGTTTCCTTGCTTCAATAGGTCTTGTATAGAAAGAATGCTAAAAAAGGCAGTATATTATGTGTCCCAAGCAAAAGGACAATTCAATAACAGATGGTGTAAAAACCCTATCCTGCTCCCATATCTCCTGCTTAGAAATTTTGACCATGTTATCCTTGATTTTTACTTTCCTTCGCACTGGGCGTACAAGAAATCCAGCCTCTCCTTTGGATTCTAAAGCACCCTTCAACCCCAAAGCTTCCTCTTCACCCATTGCCTGGTATTAACAAGACAAATGCAAGCATCAAGTAAAGGAACAGATTCCGAACATACTCAGCAAAAGAGCAAAAACCAAAGAACCTCCGGCATATACCAAAAGAGACTCAACCACCATCTTCTTATTTTCCTTAAAGGCGAGACCTAGTTCCTCCTCGTCTGGATCAATTACCAGTTTCTGCATTCATACTTCAATTAGTGAATCATGATAACCAACTCAAGCATTCACAAATAAAGGGCAGAAACCTGCTCAATGTACTCCAAGAATAGCTAGCAAAATTAACTAGTCTGAAGAATTACCACCACTTCTCTGGGTTTAGCAAATTGTTCACGGGCAACAAAAGCAACTCCACTTTTCTCCTGTCAAATGATAACAATCATCACTCCAACTGGATGCCTCTATGATTAGCGCAACATATACATCTCTAAACTTTCTCTTATCCAGTTCTCAACCCCCTCAAAATGTGCCGGAAAATGTTTTGCTTCAAACAGTATATTAGACAAAAGACCATAAGTGTGCAGCAACGGATAACATATGTCATCCATCAAATGGTTGCCACACAAGACAGCTAAAAAGAGAACCTATACAATGCAGCAAACCACATCTTGCTTTACAGAGATCACTGAAGAAAGAAGTAATATGGATAAAATGAAAAATGTATATTATTAATTTCTTACGCATGTTGGCAGCTTATGATTCACATTCCAAAACTTTGCTTATGCTACCTAAAAATTAGAAACAGGAAGAAGAGTACTGGAAGGATTTCAAAAAGACTCAAGAGGACCTTATGATAAAATCATTTCACTTATCCAGATAACAAAATGATGCGGCTGTTTCTTTAAGTATTCCTGACCGTGCGCCTGCTCCAGAAAAAAAGAAAGAAAGAAGAAAAGTACTTGGAAGAAGACAACATGACTCTTACCATAAGTGCTCGTAAATCATATCCTGACCTCTCTGAAATATCAACACACTCCATCCAACCATAGGAACACTCAATTTCGGCAACCCAACAATCTGCTGCATAGTGTGTCATTTCGTTGGCAAGACGCTGCCTAAACTGCAAGTGACGCTTGTCTATGCCAAGGCAAGTTAAAAACAGAAACGTTCTCCCAATGAAGTACCCAAGGGTCTTATTGTTAACAGTTCCCTAAAAATAAACATCGGAATTTGTGAGACTCAAAGTGAAAAAGTTAGGGCAAGAAAAATCGAGTCCAAAAGATGATTCAAGCTAACCTTTAATACTACTTCATCAAGCGGAGTTTCAATAGCAGATTGGCCAGCTTGATGTTCCCCTGGGAACATAAGCAATTCCAGATCTGCAACTTCAGAAAACTTTGGATGGGATTTATCTTTCGGATCGACAAAATGCTCGATCTCGGCGACATTGAACTCATGGATAGTCAGAAGACGATGTTGAGGCGAAATCTACACGCGTGAAAAGCATTAGAATCAATTGTAGATTAAAATATAAGGGATAATCACAAAATCTCTAATGCAGCATTGGACACCACGTTTTGAACCCATTGACTAACAAGACAATCAAATCTAACATGTAATGCAGTATTAAGACAAGTTATGCTATGCAATAGTATCAGAGCAGAAATCATGCATAAAACCCAAGCATGTGAACAAGCATGATTTAGGGTGATCAGAAAGAATTAAGCACAACCTCTTCTCTGTAAGCCACACCATTGAGAGCAATAGCAAAGGGGAGTTCGTTAGTCTCATGCAGTATATCGAATTTTAGAAAATTGCCAGGTAAAGTTTCCGGTCGTATATACCACCTACAGCAAAAAAAAACTACAGTAAATCTCCAAGACGTAAAACAAAAGCTAAAACAACATTTGTGAGAAAGGAAATTAATTAGCTCAAATGTGAACTTACTCAGGGAGGTTTTTTGATGGAAATATATCCGTTCGCCGGATCACCTTAAAGGGATAGGGACCAGAGAGCTGATTTTCGGTGTCCGGAGCTCTTGTGATACCATAT